TATTGCTCAGAGGAAACACATGCCATTAAGAATGCTTGCAAAGACAAGGAGCATGCTCAGCTGTACAGGCTCACCTAGAAGACTGCCCAGCATGATAAGTTCATTGGTACAATATGGTCAATTCATCCAAACTGGGATCATTCATACGGTAGTAAAGGATGGGGATGGTTACGTGTGTACAATGGAAGACGGTCTCTTGCAAAGCAGCATCTCCATAAGGGATCATCACAGATCTGACTCTACCCAAGGGTCATGGTAGACAGTTAAACAATCCCTTAACACGACACTGTCATCAGGACATACGTGATTCTTGGACATCCAAGCAGGAGAGTATCATGTAATAGCAGAGACATGGCACTGAAGTATAGAGTGCTGTTGAAAGAGCAGCAGAAACTACTAACACGGCATCAAAAGAGCAATGTGTGGTTGTATATCAGTGTTCACACTTAAAAACAGCACAGGAATTGTAAGGAGTTGAGAAAAGAACGCCAAGAAAGATTCAGCATCTGGAAGACAGACTTTGAGCAAGAGACCTAAGAAGGTCAACCCATGTTTATCCAACAGAACGTCAAAAGGGGACTTGAGCACTGTCTGTAATTGCCAGCACAAGAAGAAATGATTAAGATTAGGGCACTTTAATCAGGCAGAGAGAGAAAAACCAGGGATACCGTTTGATGAGGTGGTTGGAAACTGAATCCAAGCAAATTCCAATGAACTATAGGGAGCACTGTTTAACAAAAGCCATTAACTGTTAGAACAAGTTATGTGGGGATGGGGTAGGGCTGCCACAATTTGAGGTCTTGGAACAAAAAGGCTGTTTAGTCTTTAGCGAAAAAATGCGTTACATACCAAGAAATGTTGAAGCAGAAATTATTGGGTGAGATTCATTGTCAGAACAAGGAATCAAAGTCCCCTCTAGTCTTCAGAACATGAGAAGCACCCAGGAAGAACGGCAAAGACCTCTGAAAGGCATCACAGCCAATGATGCTGTCTTGTGGAAGAGGTGTTCATGACTACCAGAAGTTGCAAAAGAAAGTGGAATATCACTTTTAAAAGCCACACTTTCTTTAATAAAGATGAGAAATCCAGTGAGAAAATCCGTTATATCACTGCCAACAGCTGAAGAGAAAGGAGAAAACCAAAGAGAGGACACAGAAGCATTCCAAGCATTCCTTTTCTGCAGAACTCGAGCATATATTCAAAATGAAGTAAATCCGGATTTATTTTGGTGCAACTGAGAGCAGCATCGGGCCTCTCCTTTTAACCAAAAAAGGCAGAGTTTTGTACTCTTGTAAAGTGAACCACAGAAAACAAAGAAAGGTGTAAAACTGAATCTAGAGATTGCTAAAGGCCTTTGGGTGTGCTCTGCCTCGGTTTTAGAGCTAGTCTCGTGCCTCATGTTTCCACATCTTTGCAGAGGCTTTGGGGGCTCAGAATACTGTGTGAAGACCTCAGAACAACCTTCCATTGCCTGAAGGGGGGTACAAGGATGCTGGAGAGGGACTCTTCATTGGGGACTGTAGTGATAGGACAAGGGGTTACGGGTTAGAACTGAAAAAGGGGAAGTTTAGAATGGATATTAGGAAGAAGTTCTTTACTGTGAGGGTGCTGAGGCACTGGAATGGGTTGCCCAGGGAGGTTGTGAATGCTCCATCCCTGGCGGTGTTCAAGGCCAGGTTGGACAGAGCCTTGGCTGCCATAGTTTAGTGTGAGGTGTCCCTGCCCATGGCAGGGGGTTGGAACTGGGTGATCTTAAGGTCCTTTCCAACCCAAACCATTCTATGATAACACCACCAGCCGCTTTGTGCTGGTGCCAGTGATAACTCACAGTTGCAGACTGCAATGGAGTCAAGTGGGCTGGCAGAGAACCGGCTGGGAAGCGGGGTGTTTGATGTGAAACCAGATGGTGTTTCAGGGCTGTTTTGCTTTCGGATCTCTGGGTTCACTCAAACCTAGGAAACGCAGGAGGGGAGAATCCATTAGCAGAGGAGAACGGACCCCAAAAAACAAAGGGTTTGCACAAGCCCCTCTGTGAACAGTCCAGGGTGAAACACATGTGCCTGCACACTGGGACCCAGAGCGGAGGAGCCATGCCGCGAGTGAGGACACATGGACAGTGGGAGATTGACAACCCCAGCTCCTCAGACAGATGGGAAAGGAAACAGGAACTCCAAACAGAATAATGCTTTACAGAAAGTGGGTTTTTTCCAAACTCAATCCCAAACAACCACCAGCTGGTTCCCATTTCAGCCTGCAGATGAACAGAGTTCAAGCAGAAAAGCAGCAACAGATGCCTCAATGCTGCTCAGTGGGAAGCATCCATCCACTCTGGACTCACTCCCAGGCTTCCAGACCCTGAGGTTGCATTGTGTCAAGCTGGCCTGGGATACGGGGACTGCACCCTGCTGATGCCTGTTGCTTTCCCAGCCCTTAGATGCATCCCTTTGGGGAGGTATGGGGCATGGCTGGGCTGTGAGAGCTGGGAGAAAAAGCTATCCCTTCCTTTCATGCTCTTGGAGCTGCTTATGGGCCCAGGAAGGGCAGAGGGAGGCACAAGAGCTCACTTGGGACCTGCTCAATGCCATGTAGCTCTCCACAACTTCCATGCAATGGAAAGCAGATGAGGGCTGTAGCCCCTCAGGAGCCATGTCAATGTGAAATCAACCTCCTCTGTGTGTTAAAACCTCCCTATCTCAGCCCCCTAAGACCATAGCTCTCCATAGGTCCTGCTCTACTCACTTTAAAAGCCTCTCCACTTGGGCTTCAAAACTTTCTGGACCAAGCTACATCAGGTGACAATGACACACAAGGAACCCTGGACACAGTCTGACCATCCAAAACTGAGCATCCCTCTGCCTGGGACTTACCATCTCTCAGGTCACCATCCTCAGTCATGGGGGTCTGCAGCCTCAGTGGTGAAGCCAGCAGCATGAAACCAAGCAACTTGCATTTGTACACCCAAGAGGCAGACCTAGAACTACTTTCATGCCTTCTGCAAAGCCTACAAACTCTGCTCTCTAAGGGGGTATATATAAGGAGGTTAATTAATTGCAGTAGGGCCTTCAGCCCTTGATGAGGAACCCACAGGTGGGTTGGGATGAGGCGTGTGTGTGCTATGGAGGTAATAACCTTGTTTCTGAAGTCTAGCTCACCATTCCTGCCCCATAGGAGCAGGGGGCAGCTGGCTCTAAGGGTGCTGTGGGGTTGTTTGATACCTGCTGGAGCTGGGGTTAAACAGAGAGAGGCAATGCAGGTAGGGATTAGCCCAGCAGGTTCATAGTAATCACTGTCTTTCATTAAGGGGGGGCTTCCGTGTTCTTTCCAGCCATTCCCACCCACGCCACAGTCAGCATCCTTTACTGCTAGGCTTAGATCACAAGCTCCCTGGGATCAATGCCATGTGAATGTGTATATAAACAAAAGGAGAGCACATACATGCTTGATATAAACAGATACACTGGAGCAAGGAGTTCTACCACAGTTAACATATGCACAGGTCAGCTGGAGTCCTTGTTGTGATTGCAAGTGGGTTCCCAAGTACAGCTCTTCCCATCAAGGAATGTGCATTTTAAACGTCTGTAACACGCTGTGCACAAACCCTTCCATGTGCAAACAGGCCAGGCACACGCTCCTCAATGCCCCTGTATTCTGTGGTTACATTTACCTCCTGGTCAACCACCTTCTAAAAGCCTGCCTGCTTCTCACCACCCTGTTCCAGGAGCAGCCTGGACTTGTTAGTTAATGGCACCTCAGTTAATGGCTTGTCAGGACAGGCCATTAACATCAGTTAATGGCTTGTTGTGACAGAACAAGAAGACTGATGCTGTAGAAGCAGGTTTGGGGGGGTTGGGACTAAACAGTCCTGATTCTTTCACTGTGCCTGCCACCAAAGAGCTACCTGGCACAGAAAGCTGACAGCCCTGGTGAGTTAGAGGGCCACAGAGGAGCACAGGAGGAACCGGCAGTAATTCTTGTGCTTGTTTAGAGGTGGACTAAAAATAGAGGTTCTTGAACCCGTTTCACTGTAAAAAGGCTGCATAATTCAGGCAAGTTTTACCAGTAAATTGCAGCTATAAAGGCAAAACTCCACACCCTTAAAAGGTCTCTTGTATCCCATCCAAAACAGCGTTCTGTCCAAATGCCCTGGACGAGAGGGTGGAGATGGAGAGGGTGGGAAAGCAGATGCTAAAGGCAGCTTTGGCCTGGTAGGGAAAGGGCAATGGTTACCCCCCCACCTCTGATGTGTGCCTGCTACTGGGACAGCATGTTCGAGTGCTCGGGGCAAGAGGCAGTGCTTTGCTTACTCATTTCTGCACTGCCACCCCCAGTACATGCGCACACCATGTACTGCCTCTGCCTTGGGAATTTGCTTCTACCAAGGGAACTGCGGGAAGTGATGAGGAGGAATCTTTGCTTTGCCAGACAGCAATGCAAGGCTTTGGAGGGAAGTTCTGCCCCTGGTTTTAGGCACGTGTCCAAAGACAAAGCCAAACCAAACCCAAATTCAACCCCCAGGTAACACAGACATCACTAATCTGGTTGCTCAGGTAAGAGCTCCTCCCCTTTGGGTCTGCATCCCTGCGGGTGTAAGGAGCTGGCATTCTCCATCAGTCTCCTGTCTTCAAGCCTCATTTCTGCTTTTCTTCCCTCTTTATTCCATAAGTCCCTGCTTGCTTCCTCCTTCCTTTTCACAGTCTGCTCTCAGCATTTCCTCAACACAACAACACAGGCAGTGACCTGCTGCAGAAGATGATGCAGTAAAAGATGATGCTCATCTGTAACCCCTTCTCATTTGCCCTGTGAGGAGTTTCCCAACAAATACTTGGTTTTAATTCATTCAATTTTAATCAGTTACGACCTTCCTCTGTGCAGAAATGCAAAACTTTAATTCCCAATGTTAAATACACTACATAAATTCAATGTCTTACATGCCCCCATCAATCACTAGGTGAGGAGCAGCGCCTACCCCTGAAAGTACAGGTGAGAGAATACAGCAGGGCCAAGATGAAAGACATAGGTTTATTCACTAGGCAAAAGTCATGAGGATGCTCAAGCTTTCCTACATAACACACGTGTTAAAACTGACCTCGATGGCAAGCCTGCATCAAAGTAAATCCATCTCTGTAGTGAGGACGAATAGCTGTGACAAGGCAGTTGGCACTTAAGGCTGTGAAAGCAGGAGTAGATGGGTGGAAGGGCATCTCTGTGACTCAAACCTACTGCTAGGACCATTAAGTGGCCTTTCCAGCTTCTCCTGCAACCATTCGGAGGTCTCTCTGCATCCTTGGCACCATCCATACCTGAGATGGAGACACGTTAATCTCCATTCACACCATGGATATTTATTGAACTCGTAAATCAGGAGCAGGGCTCCAGCTGCACAACAGGCAGGGCACCAAGGTGGGAAGCAGCCAGGAGAGCAGGGCACTGAGCCAGGAAGTGCTGCTCCTTCCATGGGACTGCAGGTACCAGCCCCATTGCTCTCAGCAGCCTGGGCCCTGCCATGCCTTGGGAATGCTGCCATGGTGCAGTGTCTGGAGGTGTGAGAGGGAAGAGGCTGCTGGGTCCCACCCAGGACCACAGCATCATCACAGGAGCATCTATAGGAGACAGATCCAGTTTTTCCATTAAAGATCCACCTAGAAACAATGGGGGAAGTCCAGGCAGAGAAAACAAGGATGGTGACATTCAGCAGACCAAAACTCTTCCACCTTCATGATAAATGAGTCTGGAGGCAGCGAGCAGAAGCATCCCAGCTCACTGCTGCAGAGTGAGTCATCCCATACTCTTCCCACAGCGAAGCGTAAAGACTTCCCCACTCGGCAGCCAAACACATCTATGGAAACAGATGAAGGAGAGTACCAGGACCTGCTGTTTGTTTGTGAACAAGTTGAAGGAGCTGCATTCCATTGGAAAAGTCTGCCTGCCTGCCCTGGTGGCATTGAAACGATGTCACACAGCTGATAAGTCACATTTATTTTCAGGGAACAAATGCACAGTGCATTGATGGAGGCCAACAAAAGCCACAAGGATGGTCCAGCCACCCTTCAAACTTGTGATGATTAGGAATGTATGCTACCTGCTCACTTCCTTTCCTCTCACAAAGCCAGGGGAATCAAATAGGGAGAACAGGGTTTGTTAATACTCCTTAAAGGCTTGTTTCCATCTGCACATTAACATACCATAGAATCATAGAACCATAGATATCCAGTCAGTTCTGTTACTACCAGGCTTTACCCTTTTAAATAATAAAGAAGCCAGAACTCAGCAGCATTGTGTCATTTCCTGCATTATCCTGACATGTTTATTATGGCTGGCAAAACACATGAATTTTGTGCATTGGAAAGTATATAACTGGGTCTCAGGTGGCAAGAGACAGAGAAAAATGAACAGGTCCTATTGTGTTCTTGGTGAAGTGCAACAGTTTCCCCCAAGTGTAGCAAAGAATCTATCAATCATTACCATGCTGATACTTGGCCAGGATCATGGATCCAAAACTCTCATGTGTCACACGCTCAACAGGGCTTCTGCATCGCACTTGCTCATGAGCCCCTTCTGATCTGCATTTCAGATGCCTGCATTTGAATACAAGGAGTATCAATAGATCAAGACTGGAGCAAGTGGTCTTCAAAGTCACTCTGACAAATACTGGAGGACAACAAGACATCATGAATCATAGGACAGATTGGGCTGGAAGGGACCTTCAAAGCTCATCCAGTCCAACCCCCTTGCAGAGCAGGGACATCTTCAACTAGATCAGGTTGCCCAGAACCACATCCAGCCTGGCCTTGAATGTCTCTAGGGATGGCACATCTACCACCTCTCTGGGCAGCCTGTGCCCCCATGGAACTGGATGATCTTAAGGTCCTTTCCAACCCAAACCATTCTATGATTCTATGATTTCATCGCCCTCATTGTAAAACATTTCTTCCCCACCAATGGAGCAATATTTCCTATATTTCCCCTATGCCAATCTCTATTGGTTCTCAAGATCTCTGGTGCTACTCTCCATCCTTCTGTCAGCTCCTTCTCCCTAGCCCAGGGAAATCAGTAAATTGGCCACCACACACATTACTCCTAAGCTATTTCAAAATTGATTTAGAACTGGTGAAAGATGACAGCCCCAGAGCCCAATACAGATCACTGAAGTGGAGCAGTAGGGCAAGCTGCCCAGACACTGCCCGTTATCAAAATGCCTTCAGGGAAAGGGGGAATTTAATCTTCATGGCTTGCTCCATGCTTGCATCCCTGAGAATGCCAACTAGTGAGTGTTCAGTGTGGCATTTTCTGGACCCATTGAACCATTTATGAACTCATTGGAGACCACCAATGGCCATGAGGTGACTGTCAGCAAGGACTTTGGGACACAATTAGCAGGGGTCACGTTCTAAGCAGTGACTCAGAAGTGAGTGGCTCTGTAACCTCTTTGCCAGCCTTGTTTCTTGCCTCCTAATGATTGCTAAATTGAATCTGAAAACATCCCCACTGATGACAGGAACAAGAGCTCTGATTCCTGGGAACAAGTGTTGATGACAGGGGAATCGCTGGCTTCAGCAGAGCACTGGCTCCTGGGCTCTGCTCCATCAGATTCGTGTTTCCTTATTATGTCCCTATATTCCCTGGGCAGGGGACCATGCAGTAGGAGCACACCCAGTTATTTCCCATAGACTGTCCCCCCTGGGCTGTCAAAGATGTGAAGGAGCTGGCGCCCAGCCCTCACTTGCTCTGATAAATGCTGTTTGCAACTAAAAATGGATTCAAATAGCCTCTGAAAGCTTGTCTGGAGGGGAACAAGCTGTCGTCTGCAGAGATGCCATTAGCAGGAAGACGTGGAGAGGGCTATTCTAGGGCTGCTTATTTTTGGGTTTCACCCCACTTTGTCATCTGCCCTGGCCGAAGCAGAATAAGCAGGTTATAATTAGCACTTGGGATGGGGGCAGCAAACAGGCCCTTGCCAAAATTCAAACTCAGCATTCATCTGGTTCTTCATCCATTCCCCTCCCTGTGATGCAGACACAGCCTTTGGCCACCGTGTCCATCAGAGAGCACAGGTTCTCCATGGACCATAAAGAGGTGATACATCAGGAGCTAGGCACTGGCCACCTTTTTGCCTGCATGATCCTGCTCTCAGCCTTTTGGAAATCAAAATCTTCCCATCACTGCTACCTGGAAGTGAGGGAGGTGCCAGAGTTTTATGGGTTAGCAGAGGGAATGTGCCAATTTCCCACTACCATTTTTAATCACTAAATAGGAATGTAGTGATAGGACATGGAGTGATGGGTTCAAACTTAAACAGGTATGATTTAGGTTGGATATTAGGCAGAAGCTCTTCCCTGTGAGGGTGCTGAGGCGCTGGCACAGGGTGCCCAGAGGAGCTGTGGCTGCCCCATCCCTGGCAGTGTTCAAGGCCAGGTTGGACACAGGGGCTTGGAGCAACCTGCTCCAAGGTGTCCCTGCCCGTGGCAGGGGTTGGAACTGGATGAGCTTTAAGGTCCCTTCCAACCCAAACCATTCCGTGGTTCTAGGTGATTAAATGGTCAAACTGGCAGGAAGAGGTGAGCTGAGGCTGCTAGGAGCTAGGTGCAGAGTGGAAAAACAATTGAGCCCGTGGTTTTAGAGGGCAAGCTGGGTGGCTGTGGTAGGGCAGGGTTTCTGGAAGCTTATCCGGCTGCTATAAGACAGCAGCTGACAGCAGCAATGGGAGTTGTGCCATGCTTTGAAATGGGAGCAGAGCAAGCCCCTGGGCTGTGTCCAGGAGCTTTAGCTGTCATCAGGGTTAGCTGTCACAGCTCAGCTCTCTGATTGTTACTTCTTACATGGGGCAATGCCACCAGATCCCAGATAGACCTAAAAAGAGGAAGATGGGGATCCCACTTTCATCTGCTGAGATGGTTGGTCTGTGTCCCCACCTTCTCACCACCATAGTCTCTCTGGCCTGTAGGTCTTCTTTCAACTATCATATCATCATAGAATCATAGAATAGTTAGGATTGGAAAGGACCTGAAGATCATCCAGTTCCAACCCCCTGCCATGGACAGGGACACCTCACACTAAACCATGGCACCCAAGGCTCTGTCCAACCTGGCCTTGAACATCATCAGGCATGGAGCATTCACAGCTTCCCTGGGCAACCCATTCCAGTGCCTCACCACCCTCACAGTAAAGAACTTCTTCCTTATATCTAACCTGAACTTCCCCTGTTTAAGTTTTAACCCGTTACCCCTTGTCCTATCACTACAGTCCCTAATGAAGAGTCCCTCCCCAGCATCCCTATAGGCCCCCTGCAGATACTGGAAGGCTGCTATGAGGTCTCCACGCAGCCTTCTCTTCTCCAGGCTGAACAGCCCCAACTTTCTCAGCCTGTCTTCATACAGGAGGTGCTCCAGCCCCTGATCATCCTCGTGGCCTCCTCTGGACTTGTTCCAACAGTTCCATGTCCTTTTGATGTTGAGGACACCAGAACTGCACACAATGCTCCAAGTGAGGTCTCACAAGAGCAGAGTATCCCAACAAACTGCTCGCTAACTCTCCTCAGCCTCCTTGGGGTTAGGTTAGTTTACCTTCCTCCTCCTCCTATTTGCTGAAATGATCTTGTGCATCCCCTTTTGATATAGATTTGCAGCTTGTGGATGTCTGCGATGGAGTTCATGGTCCTCTGCTGCACTGACTGATCTACCAGGATCCTTCCAAACAGGCTCTTGAACTGAAAAGAAATTCAGAGCATTAAAAGGATGTATTGACATGCATGGACTCAAAGTTCAGGGAATCATGGCCCAGAGGAAAAACAGGTGTAACAGCCATTCTTCCTGCTTAGAAATCCACATTAACCCCTGTATAAAGATTAGGAAATACAAAATGCTGTTAGTTTTCCATTGCCTTTCAACTGACTGGTGTAAACTCACAAAAAGCCATGGTTCATAAAATGGGTAAATACAAAGGTTTGTTTCGAAGCCACTGCAACAAGTAAGGATCATAACCTGAGATGTGTTTTCCAAAGGAGCCACGATCAGGAGGTATTTCCTGCCTCAGGTGTTCCAAACTCATGGAGCCTGCTTCAGTGTGCACCTAGAGATTTCTCCCTCAGCACTATTATTGCTGTGATGCTCTTGTACCACACTAGCACCCACGTTTTTCCTAGTCATGACCAAGCTGTAGCATTTTTAACATTAGCCCCATTTTGCCTCATCCTCATTGACATTTTTGTCAGCTCCTAAGGTTGGTGTGTGACTATGGACCTGGGCAGCAATCAGAGCAGTTCACAAACCTGCTGTCTTAAGGAATGCTGCTGTTGGATGCATTAGGGTTGTGTGATTTCCACTTGCATTTTCAGCTCCTGGGGGAGAGCATTACTGCTGCTTCTCCTTACTGTTTAGCTGAAAAACAGCTAAACTGATACTGAGGTTTCACATCACCTATAATAAACTTTGTGTTGAGACTAGCACTAAAAACAGCTGAAGTCCTGTAAATAAGAACAGCAGGAATAAGCAGACAAGCTAAAATTGTACTGTAGCACCTGATGGAGCTTCTAGGAAAAGCTTCTCAAGGACAAGATGATTATGCATTAAACCAAAACAACAACAAATAACTCCTGCCACCCGACTAACACAGATGGATTAGTTGGCCTGCAGACTACAAGCCATCGCCGTGAGAACAGTCCACGGTGTTTTCCTTCCACTGAGGCCCCTGTTCCCAAATCGACTCCTCCTGATAAGAAGCTGCTAGAAAGCCATGATTGTTTTTTAATCATTGATGCATTTCCCCTCTCTGTTCCCAGCCTACCAAGAAATACTGCAATCCCATTTTCAAGCTTTTTCTTCCCATAGACAGGAAGCGCGGCGAGCGTTATTAAAGCAAAAGCAGAGATTTTTGCCAGACAGGAGGCTGCCAGGAGCCAAGACAATGAGAAAAAACAATCCTCAAATGGAACAAGATTTACAGTCAGATTGCAAGAGCTGGGACTTAGAGCCGAGTTACGGTGACACGAGTTACCATCAGTAACCAGCCACGAGCCAGGGCGATTGCGTTACGCTCAGCCCATGATGAAAGGGGGTAAGATGATCAGCTCCTGCTGGCCTGCAGCACGTACACCCCAACAGCTGCCCCAAGCTGTCCCTCCATCCCCTTCCCGTGCCACCCGCAGCCAAGCCCTTCCTTTTATGCTTATCTGTTTCCCTCTACACCAGTATTTCCTCTCCAGCTTTCGGTCAGCCGCCTCCTGTCCCCATGGAGCCAGGTTAAACAGCAGCAAGGACAGACAAGCTGTACTGCAAACACCTCCAAAGGCAGCCTTTGGGAAGATGGAAAGCTAATGCAGAAAGCAAATTCCCTGCATCCTCCTGGTCCACAGCAGAAGCAGCACTTCATTTGTGATGGCTCTCAGACAATGTTTGAGGCACGAGGAGTCATCATGCAGCACTAAACACATCTTGTACTGGCATAAGATAAATGAGCTGCTCTTCCCCAATGAGTGCTCCCCAACCCTACCAGCTATAAGAGAAAGCAGAGCTCAGCCCTGGAGAGGACAAACCTGTATTTATCTGGTACTGCAGGAGAGGTTTATGTGATGGGACAAGTGTCTCGTGATGCCCAGCTCATCCCAACACTCCCTCCTGCACCAGCAGTTGGCTGTGGTACAGTTGAGCTGCTGAGATTTCATTTTACAGCGTGGTTGGCTCTAAATGCTCTAAATACTGAAAATCATCCTGGAGACTTCCTTACCTGGAGTGTGGACATGAGGGAATGGGTTCAAACTGAAGTGGAAGTTCAGGTCAGATATAAGGAAGGAGTTCCTTAGTGTAAGGTTTGTAAAGCACTGGAACGGGTTGCCCAGGGAAGTTGTGAATGCTCCATCCCTGGCAGTGTTCAAGGCCAGGTTGGACAGAGCCTTGGGTGCCATGGTTTAGTGTGAGGTGTCCCTGCCCATGGCAGGGGGTTGGAACTGGGTGATCTTAGGGTCCTTTCCAACCCTAAGTATTCTATGATGCTTTAGCACAGGTGCTGGGGCATGTCCCATTGCCAAGCTTTCTCCCCTGTCTCCCCCCCCGATCCTGGCTCTGATAGACCTCACTCCTCACAGGACTTTTTACAGCAAGGAGACAGGACTAGAAATCAGTGGCAAGAAATGCACAGCAAGGGAAATACAGGCTAAAAATAGAGCTCTGGCCCTGCTCATTTATATATAGCAAAGTCTATACGTGTGCCTGCTGGCAGCAAGTCAGTGTAGGGGTGAAGATGTCCCTGCAACACAACCCCAATTTTGCTGAAACAGAAAAACTTCCAGGGGCAGCTGCCTGGTGACCCCAAACCAGCATCTCCCAAGGGCAGAGGGGCAGCAGGGATGGGTGTCCATGGGCAGAGGTGGCAGCTCCTGGCACAAAGCACATGCAGCTCCCACAACAGCCATGAAAGCCTTCTTCTACAGGACATCAAGTGGGACTGCATGAGGTGCATGGCAGGGGATGAATCCACAGCATAGGGGAGCAGCACCAGATGTGGTTGCAGCTGGAGGGGTGGCAGGACTCCTCCAGGATCCTTATCCTAGACTCACGCAGCATCCTCATCCTTGCGCAGCATCCTCATCCTTGCGCAGCATCCTCATCCTTGCGCAGCATCCTCAGAGGCCCCTTGGGAGCAGTTGTAGAGCAGGAAGGAAAGCACGGGGCTGTGAGCAGAAACATGCAAAGTGTAGGCTTTGCAACAGGGGCACAAACTCAAAGTGCAAGTCTTGTGGCTAACACAGCCCCACTGTCCCCCAAACACTCACACTCCAGTCTGGGACTTTATCCAACCCCCTGTTTCTTGGGATTTTATTGTGATAGCTCAAGACACATTTATCACTAGCTTTAAATCCCAGCCTTTGGCTTTGCACAAGACTTGATTTCTCCTCAGAAAACACGTTTCTAGTCCTCTTGTATACAGAAAAGTGCTTGGGACTATTGACCTACCTGTACCCAACAGGACACAGCCTGTACCTGTAAGTAAGGAAAAGGAACCCGAATGCATTCCCTGTTTAGTCTCAAAACTTTTCCTGCACACAATTAGCGTTGTTCACAGCCTGGAATTGTGCAGAGCAGGCAGGGGTGGGTGCCTCCAAATCCTCTATGCACAAGTGAACCAGGTGTCTGATCCTCTTACATCAGGATATAGCTTTGCTGAGCCTGTATGTAAAGAGCAACCCTCTCTCTTGCCTTAGGCCTCCTGAGCCCTCATTGTGCCCATGGTGTTAAATGTACCAGAAGAATTGCTTTTAAGAACCACCAGGGTTACAAATCTCAAAGAGCGATTCAAAGCCCTGCACCCTTCCTCAATCCCATGTTGTCCATAGCATATGTACCATAGATCTCTATTGACTGAGACCATACCTGGTCTCATAAGCACCTCAGAAGATTCTTGTGAGCTCCAGGACCTGGAGATGGTTTTGAAATCATTTCCCTTCTCTGTGATGCTTTGAGCATCCATGGAAGGCTTAAACAGTAGCACACCGTCCTGCCTCACCATCAGCTCCCCATGTGCTGCTGCTGAGTGAAGATGTGGTTGCAGTGAGCAGGGCTATGCTCACAAGCAGAGCAGTTGCATGGCAATGCCCATCTCCCAGGTGTCTTCCCACCCATGGAGGCATAGCCTAGAATTAAGCTCCCAGGACTTACTTTACAGCACAAGGAGGTTGTTAAGGCAGCAGCAGAGCAAGCTGGTATTCAGCTAAGGTAGCTAGCTGGAGTGGCCACGGACAAGGGCTTAGATTGCAGCCTCCAAGCTAAGAGCAGCAAGTCTCCTCTCCTCCATAGAGCTTGAGACCCTGCATAGGGTGACAAAACAGAGCTGCAATCAAGGCTTTCACAGTCACCTTCAGGATATGGGGGAATCAGGTTTATTCCCAGAGCCCAATCAGGCACAGTAAGGACTGAACCCAAGCGTTCATTCCTGTCCCTCCAAAGGTTAATGCTATCTGCTGGGCTGGGGGATAAATAACACACAAATGGCATTGTGTGTTGACATGTATCTGAGGTCTTGTCTAGGAGACCTGACTGAGGACAGTTGTGGGGTCAGGCCAGTCCTCTCTGAGACTTCAGCCAGCAGCGCTGGGCAGACAACCAGACACTTGATAGCCACGGATAGCCGAGCATCTGTAGGCTTAGGCTGGAGTTATTGCGACACTCAAATGTTAGGTACAGATTCCTAAAGACACAGGGGCTCCTGGTTTGGATTTCGGCTTCCAGGACTAGGAAGTGCTGACTTTGGGTTCAGCTTTAGCTTTGCCCTCTAAGCACTGGCAGTACACCAGGTTCAATATCTGGTATTGACATGTCTAACGCCGCCTCCACTAAGCAGATATCTGAATGCAAAATGCATAAATAAAATAAAAAGGAAAATGTATTTAAAAAATAAATAACTAAAATTAATATAGATCCATGATGAAGAATGAATCAAATTACTAAATAACAGCTCCTGAACCCAGCTGGTTCTGGGATCCTGTTTTCTGAGGCTATGCCCTAAACAACAAACCAGCCCAGAGCTGGGCAAGCTGGAGCATCCCATACCTGCAGCGTAGCTCCAGCACAGCCCTACCAGTCATAGTATCATAGAATCATAACATCAACCAGGTTGGAAAAGACCTTTAAGATCACGAAGCCCAACCTTTACCCCATGTCTGACCACTAAACCATGTCACTAAAGGCCTCCTGTGCATGTTTGAACACTTCCAGGGGCGGTGATTCCAACACTTCCTTGGGAAACCTGCTCCAGTTTCTTGTGGGGGAAGCAAGAGCCACTCTCCTTTGACCACAGTAGCCCCAGAAGGTCTGTGGAGGCTCCAGAGACACATTGAAAGCTGCTGCCGTTCCCCACAGCTGTGCATACAACTGCTGCACCCTCACGTCCCACATGTTCATGTGTAGAGGAGCATGCCAGGATAA